AAATTATTTTGTTTGACTCCTATATGGTATTAATCTGAGTTTTAATAAATAAGCAGCAAACTGTAAGGCAGTGTGAACGCTTAGCAACAAGCCAAATTTACCCAATCTACAGTGAGGACCGTAAGCAGGAAAATGCTAACAACCACATATTTATTTTAAAAAAGGGTTAGGGTTCTTTCAACTTACCCTTTGTCAGAATGTCGGATGATATCTCAACAAAGCTGGGGATAAAAAAATAAAAATAGTATTAATGCCAACATGGTATCTGCAGTCATAGCATAGTGAAATATTAGTCTGATCTTAGTCTGAAAGCGCAACAAAATGTTTACTTCAGTAAATAACTAATTAGTAAAATAAAGTTAACATAACAAACAAGATTGTGTTATTTAGTACAACAACAAAAAAGTTTTTTCTTGCATTAGGGATTAAAATCTAAACTATAGTTTAATTGTAAAAAAAACGAACTATATTGACTGTAAATACCCATTAATCCCTTTAAACTTAATCGACTTTTTTTCCAGACATGACGTTCACACATGAAGGCAACAAGACTTTCATCGACAATATGGTCAACTTTGAAAAAATGGTGAGATGTCTGTGCACGTTGAAGAGAATGACATTAGTAAATGTGTTTAATAGAATTAAATCTGGAGGAATTCAGGAACTGAACTCATATTGTTAACTCTTTGTGTCATCAGCGTATGATAGCTAACACTATTCGACAAGTGAGGCACTGTAGAGGTCAACCTTTCAGTGAGTAGAAATCCCTTTTTTATGTGGTATTTGTATTTGATGGTTTGACAGACATAAACGTCTCTCCTTACTCTGTCCTTCTTCACTTTAGATCCTGATATATGTCAGCCGAACAAAAACCAAGCAGAGGTCCGAGGCTATGTCAGGAAGCTCTGTGTGATTGACAACCAGAGGGCGCTCACGCAGCTGTCTTACAGGCTGGAGCCTCGACGGACATGAGCTCCACCCTTTTGCACCACCATCGCCCTGTCTGTGATGCTAGCAGTAAAAAAAAAAAAAAAACGAATGAACACACACACACACATTACCTTGATATTTAACACAACTCACTGTTAAGTAGCAAAACAACAACCGTTGTATGGACTATCATAGATCAAAGGACTTATACTGTGCCATTGAACTCCTCCTCCTCCTCTTCCTCCTCCTGGACAAACTGTTCAGCTGCTCTTCTGTTGCTGTGGCTTCATTGTTTGCACCACATTAGCTGTCAATCTGTGGGACCTGTTGGATAGAACTGTAGTGTATAGAACTTTAATCAATATCCTGCATGACTGAACTTTGTTTGCGTTGTGTTCTATACAGTGGACTTCTATCTGAGCGTCCTGTAACGCTGGGTTTCTCTCAGATTCAACCACGTTTACATTATATTGCAGTATCTATGTGTAAAGAAAAAAAAAGAAATAGTCTCCTCACTCCTAACTTAAAAACAAGACAACACAGAACTTACAGTCTACGGTATAACCATGACTCATCGTGTCTGTAGTGAATATTAGAATGAGTATGAGATCTGAAAGCACTTACTACGTTAGGATGTGGTGTTCTTCAGGTAAATATAAATGTCCCTTTACTAGTCAGACCAGTCCAAAGCTACTTCAGAGTATTCGTTGGGTTGAAGTTCTAATAGTGTTAAAATGTCAAACTACTGTAAACCACTGTGTTTTTTTACATACACAAGCCAACGCCCTATGATTATAGATGACCGTATATGAGGACGTTGTTTGTTTAGATCCATTCAGCTCGTAAACCAAACTGTGTTTTATTTCTTAGATCGTTTCAGAGACAGTCACCTGTGGATGGACTGAAAGTCTGATTGTGTTTGGAAACCTTGTCATCTTCCAGCTTGGTTCAGCACGTGTTATTCTTTTGTGTCATGTCGTCGTAGGTACTGACCGTGATCTGGACAAATGTCATTCATTTTTCTGTTTAAACTCAGGAGGTTTCGTTGTAATGCCGTGTGTCAACAACTGCAGCGAGGTTCTCTTCCCTCGGAGGGCGGCCTGTTACTGTACTGTTTGTGTAGTCTGTCTTGTAAATAAAAAAAAAAGCGAATTTAACAGTGGTGATGGTTTGATCAGCCAACTTCAGCTGTTTAGTAAGTGTTATCTGAACAGAAGGAATATGGAAATGACTTTGTTGATTCTTCATTAACATTCATTTTTGTTTTAGGTGTGAATAGTGAGGAGAAAGGCGCCTGCACACCTACATTTAAAGGACAGCTTCTTATCTACTGACTCACGGCTGCCCCCACATGGTAAGTAGTATAAACACAGTACGTACTGTATATGAGGTTTTTTAGATTAGCACAAGTTACTACTTAGGTACTTAGGTAAGTCACTTTAGCCTGGTCATTTGAGTAGTAGCTCTTTAGCCAAAAAAGCATTTGTCTTTTGATGGGAACACACGTCCTCTCCTGGATTTAATTAAGGCCACCGCAGTAACGATGCCTTCACATACAGTACGTGCAGATTCCAACTGGTAAACAGCCATAATTCTCCTGACTCCATGAATCTTTTCACAATATTATTAACTGTAAAAGAAGTCTTTGTTAGTGTGCCCTAAGAAATACTTTTTCTTAACTTTATACCCAAAATTTACCAGGTTAGCTGCTCTTTAAGCAAACATTTCATTTTTTGCACCTTTCCATTGACAAACAGCAGGAGAATCAGATTTTTTCATTAATGATAACCAGTGAAGAAATAACATTAAAAAACATCAGTTGTTATTGAAGAAATAACATTAAAAAACATCAGTGATCAAAAGGAAATCACAGCTTCAGACGCTGAGTCGTGTGCTATTTATGAATTGAACCACAGCGTAGTCTACTTTTACACACCATTACTGTCAACAACTGAGGACTGTCCTAACTTCTCTGAGCTGATCTCACCTGTCACTGCACACATGATGTCACCGGGTCATTCCTGTTGGGTTGAGTAACACACAACCCCCCCGTTCCACCCAGTCTGTCTTCTCTGGTGACTGTGTGTTTTAGCTGCAGCATGTGAGAGAAGGACTTAGTTATCTGTGGCAGTCAACCTCGTTGCTCACTGATTTATTATTTCTGATTTTACACGCCATAGGTTGAAGTTGTACGTGTGTGGTATAGTGCCACCTCCTGGAGTGTATGGAGATCTTTATTTAGCTGCACTTCCATCCAGGAAGAAGAAATACCCTGGATGCCAGTGACCATATTTGAGCACTGTGTCTCCCACAGGCTGACTACAAACTGGAACTTACACACACTCAAAAAAAAAAACCCTCCCTTGCAAGTGTGTGTATATGTGTGTGTGCCTGTTCAGTATTGTAGTTACACTCTATCACCACTACCAGGCAATGTAATACCTCGTGTAGCCATGACGGGGGGCTTTGACTTTCTCTGAGTCACAGCAAACTTCTCTCTCCCTCTCTTTTCCAGCACTTTCTGGTTTCTTCTCCCCTGTCGTCTGACAACATCCTCTCACACTGCTCTCTTAATTCATTCTTTCTTTTCCCACTCTGTCCTTTTGGTGTGAGCTCTGAAGTTCTGAGACTTTTTTTGGAGGGGGAAAGAGCCTTTGAGACTAGTGGAGTAAAAGCTTTCGGGGGGCTGCGTGTGTATGTGCATGTGTGTGTGTGAGTGACTTTGTGAGTCAGTATGCCATGTCGTCCCCTGGCTCGTCGTTTGTGCAGATAAAGCATGAGGACCTGCTCTTCTATGAGAACTGTGGAGGAGGCAGCTTTGGGAGCGTCTACAGAGCTCTTTGGATTTCCCAGGACAAGGAGGTGGCTGTGAAGAAACTTCTGAAGATCGACAAAGAGGTAAGAGGCTGACGCCTACACACACACACACACACACACACACACACACACAAACACCTGTAACAATAATGCGCAAAGCCTCTCAGTGGCAGGGTTGCCAGGTCTGTGTGACAAAACAAGTGCCCAGGGCTCAAAATATAACACTGCCAACAACACTACTGTTGAGGTCTGTGGGTAATGGGGAGTTTTGGAAAAACAAACAAGAATGTTGATTTACAAAGACACAAAATTGCATAATGATAATTGTCATCTTTTTTACTTTAATAACATGAGTTACTTTTTGTTTTATTTAAAAAAGGTTTCTTTTTACATTGAGAGCCTATTTTCAAAAAATGCAACCTAGTTAACGGCTTCCAGCTACAGCTATAATCACTGTGTGTCCAGAGATGCACAGTATGTGCATGTTATGACATTGTTGACTATTTATTTCAAACCACTTATTGTAAACCAATGCAATGTAGTCTATTTTAATGCGTTTTTCAAGCATACATCCTCTGACTTAGTGACCCTCTGAGTTACAAACCCCTCCCCCTCTGTGCACGACTAGAAACATCAAACCAGTATCTGTAATAACATGGAGGTGCAGCCATAGCCACAGGGGGACATCTGTGGACATGTATGTTGATGTGGAGACTTATTTTGGACAACCACCTGCCTTTCACCGTCACGACCCCGTCTGTCGTTAGTTCACCTGTTTCTCTTTCCTGGACCACTGATCAGTGGGGACTGGGAAGACCCCACAGGAGCAGCAGTTCTGGAGATGCTCTATAACCCAGTTACCTTAGCATCACCATTTGGTTCATGTTCTTAATCCATGAGCTGGACCATTGCCCTTTTATCACAAATAAAAGTCCACCCACTGACAGGTGCATTTTCTTCACCTGCCACTAGTCACATGTTAATGTTCTCTTCAAACCCAGCTGATCTCTGACAGGACAGAGTCAGGCCGCGTTCTGCTTAAATTTAAAAGTTTACCTTTGTAGACACAGTGAGTACAGGACTATAGTAGTGAGGAAGAGGAGAATCAGACCACAGAGAGTGCATCTTTAACTCGCCCTCAATGGGCAAAATGTCAGAGTGGTCATTTCATCTAACCAAACTGATGCTATGACTGTGAGGTAATGTTGGAGGTAACAGTTTGTAGATTATTGGTTCTCTACCTGCATGAAGAAGAACTCCTGGACAAAAAGACTTTAAATCAGAACAAATCAGTTCTCATTAATGTCCCTCTGAGCTCATACACCCTCAGTGCCACCTCCTCCTCCTCCACCTCTACTGCTGCTGAGTGTGTGTTTATCTTAAACATACCGGCCTTAGTTCTCCTCCTCCTTGTCTTCTCGTGGAAGGAGAACTTTTATTTATGCCTCCTCTCCTCTCTTGTACGTCTGGACGTGGTGTGTGGTCACTCTGGTGCTGTAACAGCATCCACTCAGGCCGGGCTGCTCCTCCGTGACTGTATGACCCTGACGACGGTCCAAACATAGTTTCCTTCCTTGTTATTGTAGCTGCAGTCGTGCCGCTTCATGAGCGGGTGTCGTGAAATCAGGGCGACCTGTGTGTGGATCCAACACAGCGTATGACAAAGAGGCAATGTTAAACAACGTGATGAAGAATAATAACAAAAAAGTCACTGTATGTATACATAAACTGGAGACACACAGTCACACAGGGAGGAGGGTCGTTTCCTGTTTAGCCCGCTGAACAAGCTGCTACGACTTGTTGACTAGTTCTTTGGTTACTGAGTATTTAAAATTGTATGCTACTAGCTTCAAGGTATTTGATTTTGGCTCTATTGAAAGAGGCTGTAGTATTCTAGTACTGTAGTATTTGTAGGACATAAACGTAGCTTGTCTCCCTCCCCTGCAGTGGGCCAATAATAGTTGTCTAATCATCTAATACACCTTCCGGTAATCATTTATTTTTTTGAAATAAAATATTCAAAAAAGGTAATTTTTAGTTACAGTAACATTCCTGCCTACTAGAAAAAATACTCTACATTAAAGGTTTCACTTTACATTATAATTTATGTTATGCTTGAAATGTGTATAACTTTTAACATGCATTTAATAACCGTCAATTAATTCCTAATTTTCCTGTTTCCTAACGTGTTAGCAGCAGCGCTCCATAACACTGTCTCCTTCATACGCAGCATCATTGGCCAGAGTGCAGCTCATCGAAGGAGAGCTACAGCTCCAGTCGTTTACTGACACACTTGTCAGAGAAATGGAGCGGTGCACATTAAGGTTCCATTCAAACAGGAGGGCAAAAATAAAAGCCTGAAATATTTAGTAAATTGTCCTGAAGAAGGCTTTTACTGCCCTTGAAAGATACTTCATAGTTTATTCTGTCAAACTGCAGTAAATTGGAGGCGTCACCAAAACATGTTTTTTTTTCAGAAATAAACCAGGAGGATAGCTAAGAGTTTTAGCCAAACTAAAGTCACCTTTGTTTAAACTATGCTGGAAACGATGATCCGTCAACAAATAAGCAACTTTTAAAAAGTTAACCAAAAAATGTTTCTTTGTTTTTCAATTTAAATTTTTTTATTTTTGGTTTTTATTGCAAATATCTCTGTAGGAATCTCTCACGTATCACAAAGGTTACTAATGCAGAGGTTATGACCAACAGTAAATGTCGCTTCAGATTAATGGTATGTTTGTCGCAGCAGTGTGAAAGGTCTTTGTTTGGAGACTCATCCTCTGGTATGAGGAAGGTTCAGACCTGAGTTCAGACATCACAGAGCCACTCTGTGGATTTATGATGATCCCTGGCAGCCGGTCAAAGTTAGAGAATGAGTATTCTTACAGACGAACCTCTCCTGAAGTCGGTTGATGACTCATTTGTTGCTGTTTCTCTCTCTATCATCTCCTCTCCTCCTGGTCCAGGCTGAGATCCTCAGTGTCCTGAGTCATAAGAACATCATTCAGTTTTATGGAGCGGTGCTGGAATCCCCCAACTATGGCATTGTCACAGGTCAGACTTCAGATGATTGTATGCATGTGTGTGGAAGAGAGAAAGACAGAGAGGCTCATTAATCAGTTCCAGTGTCCTCATAAGAACACACAGTCTAAACACACACTTATTTATTTATTAATGTGCTTCTGAAAAAGAATTAGCTTTAAAAAAACAAAAACAAACAGAATTGTTGAGCTGTATATATATAAAAAAAGTAAATTATCAAACAAAAACAAACAGAATTGTTCTCACAGAAGCTGTATATATATATAAAAAAAGTAAATTATCAATATGAAAGTAATCCTACTAATATATAGTACTTACTGTACATGATCGTGGATCATAAATGTTTTTTGTGGTAAGAAACAGTCGCAAAATTACCTAAATTTATATTTGCATGTACTGTGGATCATAAATGTTTTCTTTTGTGGTAAGAAACAGTCGCACAATTACCTAAATTTATATTTGCATGTACATACATTCAAAAATACTGTTTATACTACATTACATTCAAGACTTGTAATTGTTAGAAAATGTTTTCAATCATTTATTTGCTTAATTTTTTTTTTTAAACTTGAATTAGCAATACGTTGTAACTCTAATGTTTCGGTAAAAAAATACAAAAGTAATGCTGATATTTAACTTAAACATTCCATAAGAAATACTTGAAATACTTTCAAATACTTTGAGGAAAAATAACAACTTCCTGCTTAGCCAAAATGTTGAGACATTTATTTATAAAAAATACATTAAATGTACAGTTTCTGTATAACTGTGTATATATATATATACTGTATATATAAAACTTCTGTATCTATACAGTATATCATTACAGCAACTGATGATTTAAAACCGTACAACACGTACTGTAAGTTAATCACTACATTTGTTGATAAAAACAATGGACAAATTAGATCAAAATAGTCAAAGTAATTTGTTCTTACAAAATAAAGGAAAAAACAAACTGTTGTGCAGAGTTGATACAAAAACAAGGACAAATCCAGTATAAACCAAGGCTGCCCAGTTGTGGAAAAGGTAAAAAGTGTGTGTGTGTCTATATTCTTTTTATTAGTTTATATTTGAACCTGAGAGTGCCACTCACACTCGTTAGCACATGCTCGGATGGCCCACCAGTGTTTACGTGTGTGTGCTTTTAAGTCTCGGCGTGCACTCTCGATGCTGGGTCCTCCTGCCTGTCCTGGCAGGACATCTGTAACTGAGACCAGTGTGTTTGGATCTGCTAGGAACTCTGATAACAGTCCCATGAACAAAACGAAGCCGCCGTGACACAAGATGGCAAACTGGTGCAGCAATGGTTACGGCTGCAGTTGAAGTTTTGGTTACAGTCAGTGTAAAAAAATACTAAGATGAAGTCACTTAAAAAAGAAAATACAATGACCTCTGTTAGAAAATGCTGACATCTAGTGTAGATTTATGTAAATATCTTCCTGTACAACTGTTATTTTCACATATTTTCACAGAATATGCCAGTGGGGGGTCACTGTACGAGTACCTGTCCAGTGAGCAGAGTGAGGAGATGGACATGGAGCAGATCATGACCTGGGCCATACAGATGGCCAAAGGTAGGAGCCAGGAAGTGGTCCACAAATACTGTGTGATGAAAAGATGTGCAGAAGGAAAGAGAACTACAAACTATTGTAGCTAGGGATCGAATAATACTGCAGTAATACTACATGTGCACATGTGTAAGTGTTACATTTTTGTTACAAGTTAGGAAGATAACACCTCTAATGATGGTGCAGGAGATTTACTTCTGACAACCATGGACTAGTTTCACCCAGCAGAACAAGTTCCTCACACATTAGGGCAGAATAGTTTAGGCTCGGACTTGATGCTATAAACATAAACACAAATGGCATAATGGCCTGCAGTGACCCTGGCCCTGAGCTGCTTGTCGGGGTGAGGGCTGCAGCAGGTGGGCTACTGCTCTGCTCTGGGCTCGGCAGTTGTTTAAAGGGTTCTTAAATGTTCACTCGTGACTATGCAGTGATAGAATGCACAGGTTTACTACATACAGTAGCATGTAGTAAGGGTTATACTAAGGAGAACCTGGGTGTAACTGCTGTTCTGTTTGTCAGAAATATAGTTTTCTGTCTGTTGGTAAACAGAAGATTATTGGAACTGAGAGGAAATGTCTGACTACTGCAATACTTCTCACCTCAGTTTGATGTAAAACACTGTATACAGTTAATTGCTGATTTGTGGAACTGGTTTTAAAGCAGCAACGATGAACGTAGACACAGGGGGTCTGAACTGACATACTGTACATCAATGTCCATGTCACTCAGCTACGCTAACACAGTGGTAACATCATAGTCTAGGACATAATAACATAGGAAGAGTCTGACTTACCCCTGGGAGCCGTAATGAAGGGCAGAAAGTTCCTAAAAAACAACACAAATGAAAGACAGTGAATGTAGCACAGTCCATTGTCTGAAATTTAAATGCATGAATTTATTTATTTTTATTATTTATTATTATACTTTTTATTTGTGATGATTGAGTTGAGTTTTAATATTAGAGTTAACAATATATCAACTCCAATCTGATCTATTTTTAATTAATATAAATGTCCATTATTATAGTATATAGTATTTTACACATCAATGTTTTATTTAGTAAATAATCCAGAATAAAACTAGAACAGAATTCAAATAATAACAAGTATTTACTATGACTATTACATCATAAAACATGTTGCTGATTGTTTGTATTTGATGACATTTCAGGGATGCATTACCTCCACGCAGAAGCTCCAGTCAAAGTCATTCACAGAGACCTCAAGTCACGAAACGGTAACATTTGACCTGATTTTCAATGGTTCCTACACTCTGTTACCTGTCAGGGATTGACATTGTCTTCTGTCCTTCACAGTGGTGATGACAGCAGACAATGTGCTAAAGGTTAGTAACAGTAACTGTGAGTTTACAGAACGTGTTCGTAAATGTCCACGACTTCACCCTGCTCTCAGCTTTTCCTCACTTTTCCTTTGTTGGAATTCCAGATTTGTGATTTCGGTGCATCCAAGTTCCTCACTCACACCACTCACATGACTGTGGTGGGCACTTTTCCCTGGATGGCCCCTGAAGTCATCCAGAGCCTGCCTGTGTCTGAGACCTGTGACACCTACTCCTATGGTGTGGTGAGTCAGCACTCTAAGAACCTGCAGCAGTTCCCCGCAATTCACTCATGACGTCCTTCCGACATCATAACAAATAGTTCCGAAAATATACTACACATATATATATATATATATATATATATATATATATATTCCCGTCAGCACTGCAGTGTGGGTCGTTTTTCTTTTTTTAGTGTGTCACTCAAGGCAAACCCAAGAGACTGGAAGAGCCTGCAGTGAGGGCTGCGTTAAAGCAGCATCATTTCTGTTTGGAAACAACCTGGTAACTCAATCAAAATGTTGGTAGTTGCTGACTTGACCATAAACCATAGAAACGTGAACATAAAAAGGCCAGAAAAACGACTCCCAAACCAGAGAGGTGAATTTTTGTCACCATGTGAATGCAGCACAACATGCATCACGCTTTTGTAAACAAAGTGAAGTGACATTGTTTTATCAGTTCATTAACATTGTTGTCGTTCTGTTCTAATAAACTGTATTTTATATACACGTCTAACCCATACTCTCATCCTTACATCTTTTAAGCAACTGGATTTAAGTATTATTGTTGCTATGTTGTTTCATTATGGAGTCAGAGTCGGTATTGAACGACTGACTGCTGTGTCTGTGTCTGAGCAGGTGCTATGGGAGATGCTGACTCGGGAGGTTCCTTTCAAAGGCTTTGAAGGGCTTCAGGTTGCATGGCTGGTAGTGGAGAAACAAGAGGTAACACACTGTGACACACACTGTGACACACACACACGCACGCACACACTCTGTGCTGCCGGCATCTTTTTGAAGCATCTAGACCCGTTGGAGAAGGCTGCAGAAACAATGCAATGCTCTCATGGTTTCCACTGTGAGCTGGTGAGGCTAAGGCTGGGTATTTTTAGGCCTGATGTCAGTCCTCTGCTCTTGTAAGGCCTGGATACACAGGAGTGGAGCAGAGCCAGGCTCTCTCTCTCTCTGTGTACAGGACACACGCACGCCCCAAAGACTTCAGTGATATGACGGCAGATTCTAGAAGTTTATGGAAGGTGGTGGATGATGCCTATACTGTGTATGGGTTTCCAAATCCTCTTCAGCCGCCCCCTCTCCCTCCCACACACACTCTCACACACAAAGTGGGGGCCAGCAAACAGTGCTGAGAACATGATTCCTGCGTAGCTGTTGGCTAAACTCCAAATAGCCTCCCTAAATAACTCACTGTCTCTCTTTTCCCTTCCATGTCTCCCACTGATTTTCCCCTTCACTGCTACACCTCACCCTGACCCTGTGACTTGCCCTCTCTTCACTCAGTGATATTTTAGGATTAATCCCCACAGAAAACTGTTTCCATTTGCTGCACGTCACCGTGAGTCTGTCTGGACTCATTCAGACCTTCAGTGAAGCCTGACGTCTCAGTCCAGGGTCTTTATCCAAGCGGCTGCAGTGTGTCAACAACACACAGTCATTTCATGTCAATATTACACTGTGTAATATTGTCATATATGCATCACGATGAGGACATCCTTGCACCCTTCTCTCACAGATCCTTACACTAGAACTGAGCATGTCACCTAGAGCAGTGATTCTTAACCCTAGAGCTGTGGCCCAAACTTGACCCACTAGCGCCACCTAGAGGGCAGGATAAAACATTCCGTTTTGCACCTGTGCACATAAGACACCAGAGAAGGTCTTAAACAAGCACCAATATGCACAGAAGACTGTCTTTTTCTCTGTGCTAGCTATAGCAAAAATTAGAGAGACGATAAATAATGTAAACGAACGTCACTGCTTATTCCTAGTATTATTGTTTTCACTGGATTTTAAACTACTACGTGTATTGTGTTTGTTTCTTGTTATGCAGAGACTGACCATCCCCACCAGCTGTCCAGTCAGCTTTGCTGAGCTGATGAGGAAATGTTGGCAAGCAGATCCAAAGGTAAGATCAAAAAGAATAGAAAGAATTAGATTCCGTCAGATTAAAATCCATCCAAAGACATTTAAGGTCAATATTAAACCTCAAAAAATCTGTGCTGCCTTAATCTGGAGCAGGCACAGGTCACTGGGCCTGATGCCCACGGTGTTTTGCCATGACTTGCCTGTTGAATTTGCCTTTACCCAGTAACAGTATCCCTGTATAATGATAAGGTAATAAAACAGATATGGCAGGAAGCTGACTTGGCCTCTGTGTCTGCATGTACACACAGGAGCGTCCACAGTTCAAGCAGGTGCTGGCAACTCTGGAGACCATGGCCAATGACAGCAGACTACCGGACCAGTGTAATTCCTTCCTACATAACAAGGACCAGTGGAGGTAAACACACACAGTTTACAGGAAACACACAGCATCTCTAGATAATAATAATAATACATAGATATATATGTATATCTATGTATATCTCAGGACTTTGAATGGATTCATCATGAGCTCCTACAGTGTCATGCTACCATTTACACACACTGTGGGAAATAGTTCTTTTCACCAAAGTATCTCAAGCTCAAAATACCATCCTTATGCCTCACCATGTACTTGTGGAGGCTTTCACTTCAGCTCAGATGTCCGGTTTGCGTCAGACCAGCCTCACAGAGCACTTGACACTGAGTAGGGTTGAATTGTGAGGGTGTGCAGTGAGTAGTTTGACAGAAGATTCTACTGCACACGCAAACATCAACATGCGAAGTAATGACCAAACTCTGAGGATTATGGGCCAACTAAAAGCTGGTGTGATCGACCTGCTGTCGTCGTCTGTTTGACTGTCAGTTAATCTGAGTTACTCATGATGAATCCACGGCAAACCTGTGTTTAATCAGACCGGTCATTAATCAGACATTAGTTTGACAGCCATAACGATAATGCATTAAGATGATCTTCTCTGTCATTCACTTCCTGTGATCCTCATTCAGAGGACAGACTGCTGAGTCCATTTCTTATACATCATCTAGTTTTACACTTTTCATATTCAAACGGTTGCCGCTCATTTACTACTGTGACACATACACACATTTACACACAGCTCTGTAGACTGTAATGCTCAGGAGAGAAGCTGAATGTGTGACCCTGTGCTCTGCACTTGAGTCTATAATAAGCTCTCTGGAAAGAGTCCATGAAAGAGATTCCTCTGCTCCACCGTGCCCCGGCTTCAGGGGAACAACAGGCGACTCAGGGGAGAAGTGGGAGAAACAAACTGCAGAAGTGTATTTTCTTAGGCGTGTGTAAAAGCCAAAACACAGACAACGTAGGAAAACGAGAGTGGACAGATGACAGGGGTGAGACGAGGAGAGAGAGAGAGAGCGAGGAACGGGGAGCGAGGAGTGGTGGACGGAGCAGAGGAGAGGTGGTGTGAGATTCTGTGCATATTTAACATGAGTACAGCAAGGCAATCAATTCTGAGCCTAGTTGGAGCTTTGGGTGGAGGTGGAACAACTTGAACAAGCAGAGGAGACAACGAAGTGGAGGAGGAGGGAGAGGAGAGGAGAGTGGAGGAGGTGAGGGGTGAGTGAAGGAACCAAAGGGGTGGGATGAATGAATAGGGAGGTATAGAGGGGACATAGGAGGAGCAGGGGGGAGGTATGGCCGTGTCTCTGTCTATATTTAGTTGTGTGAGATCTGATTGTTTGTGAATGCATGTTTATAGATACACAAAAATTCCACAGTGACCTCTTGTGGACACTTGTAGAACTGGAACCAAACGTAGATGAATTTAGAGCAAAATAACTCGTTTCAATGTTTCAACCTTAGAGAGAGGCTGCTCTATTAAACAAATGATTTCAGCAATAGTTTTACATGCAAGGAATATGTTACAACGCTGTTCTTTAATATGAATAGGATCAGAAGGAAAATTAATCTTCAGTGACAGGGTGTTTAGTTTTAGTCAATTGATTTGCACATTTCATGGATCATCTGGTAGCCTCCACTGCATGTCTTCTGGAAAAAACCCTTTTCCTCACTTTCAAGCATATTGATTGCACAAGCACCACCTTATGGCCATTTTGCATCATTACAGGTGTGAAATTGAAGCAACCCTGGAACGTCTTCGAAAGCTAGAGCGGGAACTTTACTCCAAAGAGAAGGAGCTAGAGGAGAGGGAGAGGAGGCTCAGACTGTGGGAGGAGAGGCTGATGGAGCGGTCCAACATGAGCACCAGTCCTACATCCTTACTGATGGAGCGCTCCAACATCTCCCCGGTGAGTACCCACAACATTTCACATTATAGAATTCAATCAAGGTTGTATACTGTGGGTGTGACAGAAGGTAAAGCAGATGGGAGCTGAATCTTCTGGGTGTGGTTTCTAAGAGAGCCTTACAGGGTGATAGGTTGTGTCTTAGTCCACCTCTGTTGAGTGATGTTTTTTCCAGGTTGTCAAAAATTGCTTCTTTTACCCCTCTCTCACACCATCTGTCTTCTCTGGCCGAAACATACACCTCAAGGACAAAACACACTCCTTAGAGGACAACGATGTCCACATTTTGGCCAGGGAAGACAGATGTCGTCTTCTTGAGAAAACTTCTTGCCTAACTGAACTCTTCAACCTTGACATTGTAGAATTGTTGAGAGCCAACAGCCCAGCTAATTCAGTAAAATAAAATGAACATTCTTCACTTCTTCTTCTTCTTCCTGTCTTTGACAGTTCTTCACACCACTGTCCATCGGTTCCTCTGGTTCGTTCTTCCGCTCTCACTCTCAGGACTCTAACAGCACAGGAATCAGCAGTGCTGGTGTTAGTTCTCTCCTTCGCACCCTCAGCAACGGCGATACAGAGCGGGGGAGTAGTACAGGGGTGGAAAGGAGCATGAGCTCCCTTGAAGGTGGCAGATTCCACGCCATGCTTCGAGGGCTGCATGGGAGGTTTGGAGAGGATGACGAGGAAGAGGAGGGAACCCTGGAGGACAAAAGCTGGGGTCAGCAGGAGAGACACGACAGTGGGAGTATGGAGGGAGGAAGAGTGCAGGTAACACTCAGAAGCTATCCAGGAGGTGTAGTGGAGCGGGAGGAGAGGACATGGGAGGGGGACAGAGAGAAGGGAGGGAGGCAGAGGAGCCGGGTCACAACTATAGTTCGAGGGTACTCGGGAGGATTTGGAGAGGCAGAAGGGGAGAGGGATAAGGAGGGAGGATGGGAGATAGAGAAACTGGGGGACAGACTCAGTGAGAGGGGGGTGGAAGGAGGGATAGAAGGAGGGCGCCTCCCTACCATGTTTAAGGGGCTCCATGGGAGTTTGGGCGGCTTGGGGGACATGCTGACCTTAGACATGGATGAGATGGAGGGCATGGACAGACTAGGAGACATGGACATGAACATGAACATGGGGGAGCTTGGGGTGAAGATGGTAGGTCACGGGGTCAGAAGTGAGCTCGGAGTCCGGGGTCGTAGGAGCGACATGGGAGTCATAGTCCAGGGGATGAAAGGTGACGTCAGTGAGGCCATCAGCCAGAAGGTCAGAGGTGAAGTGGGCGTCCTCGGCCACTCGGGGGTGCAGGTGAGCATGCGGGCTTCGTCCAATCAGAACTCTGTGAAGAGCTGCAGCGTACGGCACGGAACCAAGATCAACATGGCCACGGCTGCCATGGACATGATGGAGCTGGACTGGTCCGACAGCGACTAGGAAACAACACACCGAGGCCAAACTAGAGATTTCACTGGTACACACTTTTCTTTTTGTTACTATTTTTTATGGAATGAATGAAAACTCCACCCACGTGTACTGTGAAGTAGGAAAGATTCAACAGACGTTTGTCTTGTTACAGCTGACAGAATGATTTCACCTGTGTAATTGAATGTGTTGTTAGAACTGATGCTTAACATTCTGTATGAGGTACAAGTGTTGGACAAAACTCACTTGAACACCGCTCTAATGAAGCAGCACTGATGTCAGATTTTACCCCCCCACCCCACCCCTTTCTTCTGCCTATACCTTAGTTTGTAGATTTGGTTTGTTCAGAATAGGCTTTGACTTTTATCAGTTCTAACTGTGATCTACTGCGTGAACCTATTGGCATTTTCTGTCTGTATATTTTATCATTTTTCAATAAAAAGAAAAGAAAAATGACTCGTGACTTCTGTGTGTGTTTACCTTTCAATCCCCGTCTCCTTGTTGATCTTCAGACACTGAGAAGCAGGGCCACTCCAGCCAGTACCCACTTTGCGGGACGCTCACGAGTCTTTAGGCTAAAAGTCCAAACATAAGTGGGCCCTCTGATCTTGGTCTTGTAGAGAGGACACTCGTAGATATTCCTAGTCTCGTGGCGATCACTGGGAACAGCTCGGACCGAGATCACAGGCATGGGCGGGGTCAGATCTTTCAAACGAGCCTCGGTGATGACGCCAGCCTGAATGTCCCATCTGGCACCTGTGAAGGTAGCATCAAAAGTAACATGGCGTCATTCTGCGCATGCATTCAATTTCAATCTGATTCATTTTACACATTATTGTTTTGTCAGTAACATGTTCATTTCGACAAGTATGAAGTGTATTTACCCTCCATGTAAAGTCCGTAGACATACGCCCCCTCTCTTGCAGGCTGATTGAACTCCTCCTTAAACTTCTTGGTCACGTCCACTGTCAGTTTCACTTTATCCAGTGGCCACTCATTCTTCCGCGCCAGAGACTGCATTACAGCTTTAAAGATATGTGGGGATAAATGTTGACATGAGGTGGACCAGTGGGAAAAAACAAAGCGGATTACTAATAAAGAGGCACACAAACAAGTCTGGACACCAATTAAGATTTAAAAATGTAAGGCAGGGGTTTAAACACACACCATTTAGGGGTGTCAGCCTTCCTTATTTTGTTGCGTATGTGTGAGTGTGGGGTTGAACCTGTGAGTGTGCCTGATTGGTGAGATGTGTGAAACATCTCCCAGGGAGCCTGCTGATTAGTTCTGCCAGGAACTTCTAAGAGACCAGATGTTGGGGGGACCTGTTTGAACCTCTTTCAGTCAGAACATCAGCAACATGGTGCTGATTTCAATAAAGCTTTAAAAAGGTTGTTACTGTGTTGGAAGATGGTTACACTTCGAGGCTGGTTTGTCCTGTTTTGACCAGTTAAGAACAATGACATCTTAAGGCCTAAATCTTTAGGAATTGTTAACAAATAAACTCTTAATATGGCTGCTATGGTTCTGCCACATGTAGAATAGATGATAACTTCAGTGAACATATGACTAGTCATACAGCATCTAGATACGGTGTTATTTTCATAAAATACACAAAATAATCCGTAAAACACTGTAAAATGCTGCTCAGTAAATGTCTGTTTTCTTTACCAGTGCATGTGTGTTTACCTGTGAGGAAAGACTGTGGATTAAAAAGTCCAGACAACCAGACGACACTTGGTAGAGACAAGTCCTGAGTCCAGCTGTCCAGCTCTTTGCAGCGCTGCAGCACGTCATTGTACCTGACACACACACACACACACACTTGTTTACAGTCTGTTGTCTGTAGTCTGGTCCAACAACATATGATATACAGTACAACCTCTCTACCCACCATATAGCCAGGCTGTAGGTGGAAGGATAAGCTAGCTTTGTCCAAGTGTCGGGGACATTATCAAAGAACAAGGCCGTCTGCAGCTTCTCCATTTCAGAGGAGATGGCAAGTTCACCCTGTGTTTGAACATAACCATTAGAGTTAGCATTAGACCAAGAAGTCATCCTTATCATCAAAACACACTGAGCGAGGGTTCAGACACAGCCCCGTCGTAAAGTACCTTCAGTCCGAGGTCCAGTTCTTTGAGCGAACGTCGTATTTCGGAGATGAGAGTATTCATGCGCTCACACTCCTGGAAACAGACCAGGATGTATGGAGAACGCTCCGCCGTTTTCGAGGTGATGTCTGACATATTGTACTCCTCTGGTAACTTCTCCAGAACCTCGTCCAATATTGTTTTCACCTGCAGCAGAGTGAGGTGAGTACTAGTACGTGTTGACTTGAAGGTGGAAACTAAACCAACCCAAACTGACCTTCTCCTCCAGGGTCTGTGAGGCCCCCTCACCCATCACCGCATCAGGAGACTGCAGCTCCAGCAGTGTGTGAAAAAGTTTATCTGATGTCACCGTCAGGAATTCAATTTCGGCATTGGGGTGCAACCCATAATGCACTGGGCTCTCGTGGGGCAGCATCTCATCTATGAAGTCATGGTAACCCTGTGGGGAATGAAGGAAAATATGAACTAAATGTACTAACTCTTATTAACAGTTCTGTCTAACAGAATCTAACATGAGATTCTATTCTTACCTGATAGTCCAGATTGGAGGGGACAAAGAAGCCTGCACCCAGGGTTAGCTTCCGGTCAAACTGATGAAACAACATAAATGAGAATTTGACCTGTGGATTCTGTAAGTCTACATTTGACAGTAAAGTCCAAATGTCCTCACCTGGTTGGGCTGCATGTATTCTTCCAGGTACGTCCTACAAAGTCGTCTGTCCCAGTCGTCGGTGATGTGTCCTCCGTACATAATCTCCCCAAACAGATACCTCAGGTCCTCCCAGGGCACCTTCAACACGGTCACCATAGTAAAAATCATCCTGTCCTCAGTTCTGGGGGGAAAAAAACTAAACTGAACTCACCTGTGCGTTGGCCTCCAGGTAGTTGTAGAGGACGTTCACTGATATGGTCAGATCTCCGGTGTTGAAGGGATATTTTTTGTTCCATCCCTGAGGACCAAACTTTCTTCTCTCTGCCACACAGGCATGAAAGTAGCACAGGGAGAAGAGGATGGTCTTAAACTCCTGCTCACGACTGCACTGGTCCAGCATGTCCTACAAGTTGGACACACATTAATACATCAGTACATGTTAGACATAAAAAAAAACACACAAGCATTTACTACACACTTACCTGGTCAAAGTTATCCAGAGCTGAATGCAGGTTAGCGTGCATTCCAGTAGGAGGTTCATTGGTGATCTTGATGGCGTTCTCTAGAATTCCCTGATTAAAAATGAGCAGGAAGGAGTGCCACCATTAAAGCAGAGCCTAATGATGTCACTGCATGTGGAGTGAAGCTCTACCTGAGGGATGATGTGGTCCTGAGGTGTTGGTGCAGGCTCGGCGCTCATGAACACTCTGTAGTCAGGATGACTGTCTGCACAGCAGCGCTCCAGGAGCTTCTCCAGTGAACCCAGCCACCGACCAACCAGGTGGATGTTCTGCCACGTAGAACAGAATGCAGAATAATCGTGTTTTTCTTCAAAAGCTAAGGCGTTAACGTGCCATCTCTGAAATCATCCAAACCTGCAATATGACCCAGTGACCCTCCTTGGCTGCCTTCTCCATGGCACTCTCAGCCACGGCCTCTTGACCTTGACCCAAGGACACATTGTGAAGCTTCCCGAGGTCAATAGTAAAACCAAGCTTGCTTCCTACATAAAACAGATACATTTGTATATTGACTGAGGTCAACTTGGCCCTGACCTCAAGTAGTTCCACTCATTGAAACATACTTAGACTTTTACTGTCACTCAGTATAAAAGAAAGTATTTTGTGTGTTTTGTGCAGGCAAACTGTGTGGATGTTTGCATTTAGTACCCAAAGACTCCACATCTTTGAGTGGATCAACTCCAGGAGAGAGGATGAAGACGACAGGTGAAGCTGGACCACTCTCTTTGAAGGACTTTGCAAACTCAGTTTTCCGACCCTCTGTGTATTTAACTCCGAGTTTCTCTTCCACAAAGTTCCTAAAACAGACATAGTCTGAAACTGTTAAAGAAAACTGCCTTAACCTTTTAGAAATAAGTGTGTATTCTTTGTGGGTGGGGCAGACATATTGTGTGTACTTCACCTAAGGGCGTAGGTCATTCTGTCAGGTCTCAGGGCTCTCATCATGATGAGCTTCTGCAGGGAGCTTTTTCCTTTCCATTCCTGAGGAAACTTCTCCTTCTCTGGAGACTCCGACTCCACCAGTTTCTTCCAGCGTTTTGGAGATCCCTCGATATCCCGGTCCAGACCTCGGAATTCATCCGTGAAACTCATTACCTGCTCAGATAAAAAGAAACCCAAAACAGTGTCAGGTGTAATTAACTTCTGAGAGCTGACGAACCCTCTTTGTACCTTAATGGCGCTCCATGCTGAGTTGGACAGAAACTCAACGGGGCTGACGTACTGGTGGTCGATGTTGAAACGAAGCAGGAAGTCCAGCTCTCTCACATCTATCTCTTTACTCATCAGGAGCAGCTGGCAGATAGAGAAAAAAAAACAAAAAACACTCATGGTCAAAAACACAAACGCTGACGCTCAGTGGCAGTGCCTCACACAGACTCACACCTGAAAGGCCAGCTGTGCAGTGAAGGTCAGCTTGTCTCTCTCAAACAGGCCCCTGCTGATGTAGTTGAAGGAGGAGTAGGTGACACAGTCGATCAGGGTGTGGACTCTGATCTTCACGTCCTCAAAGGGGTCTGCCATCTCCACAGCTTTGTGAAAAACCACGTTGAAGGCCTGTGGAAAGTACGGATGGTCCTTAAATCTGAACAGTGAGTCATTTCTTAAACGGTCGGTTCTTTTAGCGACTTTCACACCCTGTAATCTAAACTGTCGGAGTTCTCAACTCTCTCCAATCCCATTACCTTGAGGCTGAACTGATACATTGGATTTATCTTGTTGAGATCGTTCATGATAAAGTAGAGAAGAGAGGCTCTGACAGCAACGGGCCGGTAATGTTCTCTGGCCTCGTTTATCTTCACTTCATTCACTTTAGCTTCCTGGACCTGAGAGTACAGAGACAGACAGGACAGAGAGACAATGGAGGAGAGAGACGGTGAAGCCAAAAAAGTTAAACGTACTGTGAAACACATGTTACTCTGATATTCTCCAATCCCCACTTAACATATTTTGGAGCTCAAATACATCAGTGTTACCTTCATCTCAATCTCAGCAGCAGTGTGTTTGGTGGTCTCCAGCCTCTCTACCAACACGTTGTCACCCAGGAAGTTACTGTCGGCAGCAGACAACCTGGTCAGGAGCTCGTCCTCCAGGAACTTCAGCTCAATCTTGAACATGTTCTGCTGTTTGGTCAGTTCAATCTGCAGGGACATTAGACAAATGTGGTATGATTTAAAACACTAGTTGACCTGTGTGAGTTAAATTCATTTAAATCACAGCCATTTGACCCACCTTGAGTCTCTCCAGGTCTGGTCTCTCCTGATTTACGACCTGGGCCAGGAGCTGGTCCTCCAGTCCATCTCTGGTCACAGTGAAATTTATCAGTGTGGTTTGAGCCTGAATCTCTGGTTTGTAGTGAGGGTTGGCCAGTTTAGTGTGAAGGATCAGTCTGAAGCTTGGGTGGAAGAAACACTCCTTGTCTCCAACTTTGATACAACTGAAGTAAAGAGAGAAAATGCAGGGAGATGAGAATGCTTCTAACGTTCTCTTTAGATGCTCACTCACGTTTGTGTGTGTGGTCATTACCTGCCCTTCTTGATCGTGTGTCGTCCCAGCAGAGGGTCAATAACAGGGTCAATGGTCTCCTCAAGGTTCTCAATGAGGACCGTGTCCCCGGCCACTACAGCCTGTTCTATTACATCTACGTACCTGAAAATAAAATGGAAAAAGAACAACTGCCTTGTAGCATTAAAGGGACGTTGGAGAGCAGTGGGAGGAAGATGAAAATACAAGAAGATAATTAAAATGGCATCTAACATTTGTAGGGAACAAGGTGAAAAGGCAAACAATGGTAAAGGGAAAGGGTGAAACAGCGCCAGAAGACTGTAGCGGCCGAGAATATATTAGCATTAAACCATAGAAATCAGCCAGGTGGCCCTGGTTTGACTCCAAGTGTGTACATCATCAGGGTCAGAATCCTACCTTCCCTCAAGTACAACTACAGCTTCAGATTTTTAGGTCATTCCTCGCAGCTATTTAGAGTTTGTGTTGAAAGCCATTATGGCCACTTAGAGTTAAAAGGAGATGAAAATACGAACCCTCGCTGCCCAAGACTGATGACTTTGAGGTTGTTGTCATAGTGACTCTTGATCCACTTGATGCCCTGCAGCTGAGGGTCAATAAGGAGAGGCCAGCGCTCGCCTGAAAAACAACTCCCAAGGATTTACATTTTGTATTTGTCATTAAAGCGGGGTTATGATTTCCTGGAATAAAGACTCCATGTGGTTAGCTGTGCTGGATATTTGATGTCACTGCTCACAGTTGGTAAGGATGGATGCGTTCTGAGTGGACATTTTATCTCCTGGTAGACCTTCGTTGTTCCACTGGGCCACCATGGCATCATCAGTCAGCATTGTCACTGGATCCAAGGCCTCAGTCATGGGGATGGTGACCTGAAGCAAGGATGATAGAAATATGAGGCAAAGCCCACCCAGCACTTATATGAGATGAATATAGGGGAAACAGAGCAGATAGAAAAGAAGAAGCATTTTGGTTTTGTCTGAAAGATGTACAGAAAATGGTAATAATAAGTATACATCGACTGTTAATTTAACTCGTGTTCAGTTTTTTGGTATAATAATGACCTTCTGATTGCACAGAAATGGCATCCAGAGGTTCTCCAGCAGCTCTCTTCTGTACTTCTTGGAAAAAGGACCAGCATAGGAGATGAAAGCTGCAGTGAGGAGAACGTCCCCACTAAGAGTCTCCTCTTGTTCATGGTACTGAGACACAGAGTGAGTCCAACGCACATTCTCACTCTGAAACACACACAAAAAGGCGTCACGTGGTCAGTTTGTTCTTAATGGAGAATGAATGAAAGTAAATAAATGAACAGGACGTTGAAAAAGTCACAGATCTTCTAACGGCGACTGCTGCGCTCACCTCAAGTCCTTTGACCAGCCGATTGGCCAGTTCTATCGTCTTGTTTGTGTAGTTGACCTCCTCCTGGAAACGCAGCTTCTCTGATGTGGCTTTCTCAAACTCACTTGTCAGGGTTTCCAGGTGACTGTCCAGCTCCTGGGAGTGGATCATTTAAGATTATTAAAGCAACAGCAACAATAAGTTACCAAAGGCACACCTCAAGGTTAAAACTAAACAAAATCTTAAAGGCCTGTAAAAAAAGAAAACCTAATTTAGTCAATTAATAGACGCGAGTCTGTCGACCTTTACATCAATGACACAGATCAGGACCAGAAGTGTCACCTACACTTTCAAGAGTCTTTCATTTACTATAGTAAGTGTAAAAACCCAGCCATTTCTTTGTCTAGGCGCTGAATAACAATGAGATTCATTAACAACTCTGGAGCGTTGGAGTCGCATCAAGCATCAAATCACATCTGCTGTGTCGTGTTATTTCAGATTACATCAAGACATGAGGCTGAATTTAAACGTCTCTTTAACTTCCTCTGAAAAGACTGCTTTTTAACTATGACCTTGATGATCAACGACCTAAGATCAGAGAGCAAATCTTTAGATAAAAAACAACTTTCAATCCAGAATAATGAGAGAAGACTTACAGCAAGTTTCCTTCTGATGACCTGTAATTTCTCCGCAGCCTCAGCCAGATCAGCATTGGCCTGAGCCAAACACATCCTCTTCATCTCTACCTCACACGCCACCTGATGATACACACACACACACTCACATGCTGTAACTATCTTTATATTGTTAGGTATAAAATACTAAATATTAAATGTTTAAAATATTAAAATGAAAACAATGACAAAAATTAGATATACTTACAAAAATCTGTCCAGAACAGCATGATGGTTGGGGAAAAAGGAAATACTTATTGAATCAACCATTATTATAACCAGTTAGGTTAATCTTACCCTAATGACAGGCTCTGTACAGTTAGTGAGACAGCTGCCGTCAAAGCCAGTACCTCATGGAAGCGCACGATGTTGATGACCCAGGCACAGAGCCCTGCGGCAGCAGAGGATTTATGTCGAACAAACTCGGGGTTGAACTCGGGGTCACTGAGGTAATCGTCTCTAACACACTTCACTGTGGCCTCGGGGATGTGTTCTTTGTCAAAGTTCACCAGAGCTTGCAGGAAGTCGTCCACCTGTTTGTGCAAATGCACGTATGTGAGTCCAATTAAATAGCACTTTAGATCATAGTGTCTTAACTGTATGTTGCAGTGACAGGACTGTTGGATTATTAAAGGTTACACAAAGGCAGCTCAACAGCAATAAAAACCCTTTTAATCCACAACATCTGTGCCAAGGACCAGCAGCACAGCAGAAAGTAAACAATAAAAGCTAATAAACCTGGGACACGTATGTACAGTTAGAAAGTAAATTTAAAAGGTTCACTATTACTTTATGAAATAATTATAATAATAAATCCCTATGTAAATATTTGTTTTCAATTAATATAGTTTTGTGAAACAACTTCAACAGTTTTAAGTTTTTTTTAGATTTCTCAGAGTAAGCCAACATTAGGGGCACACGTTCAGACGCTTCTGTAAACCATCACCTTGCTCATAATCATCTTGGAGGCCTTCCAGCTGCGATCTTTAGGGATTCTGCCTTGAGGAGCCATGAGGACGAGGACAGCTGCCGACACGTTGGTGACAATAGCTGGAGGGTTGGGGAACGTCCTCAGCTCTGTCAGGTTTAACTGAAAACAAAACCCACAGAACCTTGCTATCTTCTTCAATACAACAAAAAATACTGTTAAGCAGAAATAATAATAAAAAAAAGAAATATTTTTTCACCCTGTTAAGTGTATTTAGGGCTGCATGAGCTGCCTGTAAGGCAGGTTCAGCTTTGGCCAAGTCATCCTCTGTCTCCTGCTGCTGTTTGGTCACTTTAGCTTGAATTGCAGCAACCTAAAAAAAAAAACCAAAACAACAAATGATATGTAACCAGTCCAACATTTCACAGTAATACATCATCACAAACATAAACATCAGTGGACCTGTGTGATGGTGTATGTGATATAGGATGATGTCTGTGGTCACTGTTATTTCCTTATGCCTATGAAGGATGACATCTGCATTCAACAGTTTGTAATTGTTTTAAATGTTGTACAAAAGTTTCTAGTCCTCAAATTAATCTCACATTTTTTCTAAAGAAGAATAACAACAACAATATCAAATGGCTTTCTCTGAGATCTCCGCTGATGTCTGAACATCTGTCTTGATTAATTTGATGTTCAGACACTGTCATTACCTTCTGCTCCTCAGCATCAGCCACAGCCCTCTCCTGGTTCAGCTTGTCTGTCTGCTGTCCAATCTTAGCGATGAGAGCTTCAATGTCTGAGTTCTTCTGCCAAAGCTCCACCTCCTGCACTGCTAATTTGGCCTTCAAATCCTCCACCTAACACGGAGTAAAAACATGGGTTGACACGAACGTGTCGGGTGGTCAAAGTTATTTTGACACATTCATGCAGTGCACTGGGGAAGTGACCTGTGAGGCGGTCGACTGCAGCTTCTGCAGTCCGTTCTCCAGCCGCTCCATCTTCTCAGTCAGCTCCGTGCGTTTGGTCCCCAGGAGGTTGCCGTACAGCTTCATAAACTCCAGGAAACTCTTGGGGGTGGTGTAGTTGAAGTGCTTCTCGTTCTGTTGGTACTTGACACTCACCTGCGTCGTGCATGTGAAGCAAAGGTAAACACTTCAGATCAGATGAGGAGTTGAATGTGGTTTGTACAGTAACTCACCTCGTTGACACACGTGTGGGCGTAAGAGATGAACTCGCTGATGGAGGCCCTGACATCTGGCTGCAGTGGGTGAACACACACAGAAGATTTATAGATTTAAAACGGTACTGGCCGCCTCGGGCTTCAGGAACTGAACTCCAGTGAATCCATACGTATGAAGTCTAGTATTTTCTTTATACTAAGGTCTTAGCATCAACTTTAAAAAGCCGCAGTAATGAATGGGAGTGAATGAGCCGTCACCTCCAGTCCAGGTATCTTCTCTATGAAAGTGGTGCTGACCGACTGCAGAGCGAGCTGAGGCCAAGGGTGAAACCAGTCTATTGCTGTACAGTTCACCAGCGCGGGGAATTTCCGTGCTCTCGTCCGCAGTGTAAATCCAACTGGTGAGAAACAAAGAACCACCTGGACAAAAGAAGATAAAAGATGATGTGAATCGAAGACTTTTTTGATCAAGATAGATATGATTTTGGAGAATTAACAACACTCTTTATTAAATCTCTTATTTTTTTGTTGAGAGACCTTAATTTAGTTTAGTATTAACGAAAGAAAGATTAAAGTCAGTGTAAAAACCTTCCTAACATGTCTACACTGTACTGCACATTATGTTACAGATACAAAATAACACAGAGATGACTCAGACTTTGAGCTGCCGTCGTATCCTCTCAATGAAAAAGCTCCAGCAGTTGTCCCTTGTGTCCATAAGTCCCAGTCCTCTGAGCTCCATACGGATGGAAGACACAATAGTGTCCATGTCTTCATCGTTAAACAGGTCAGGAATATCACCTAAAAACAGAAATGTATAAGTTCTTCTTTAATTTTATAAAACGCACCTTTTTTCTACATCTAATGATAATTGTTTTTAACCAGCAATTTATTTTTCGTTTTCTTTTTCTGTTCTCTATTCAAGGGCAAAGGATAAAAAGTCATTTTTTCCTTTCTCTTTGTACAAAGGTCTCAGTGCTTAGAATTTTTAATATCTGCACTAAGAATGTGTTTTTATCCTGTTAATTCAAGCAGAGAAAGCCAGTGTGACCAACCTGAGGCCAACATGTCATTGATGAGCACCAGGAAGCGTTCATCTGGAATTTGAGCATCTGTATGAAGGAACACGGTGCCAATGTTCTTCACCCCCACCTTCATATACAGCGCTGCTATATCACTCTGGAAATGAGGGTAAATTAGAAGTTATGAGATGGGTCCTAAAATGTGTATTACAGGGTGGGATGTCATTTGGCATTAATCCTGAGTGTGTTGTGTTTTTACCTTAAGGTCATTGATGCCGTAACCTTTTCTCAGAGTGATCTGGAAAACCTCCAGTGTGCTGAGGAAGGCAGCCAGCCGACATAAACTCTGCTTCCCGCTGCCTCCGACTCCAACCAGCAGAGCGTTTCCATAGGGGGCCTCCAAGATGCGACTGATACGACACCTGAGCACAGACACTAAAATTAACATTCTATATGTATAAGCATAAGCTCCTCTGTGTGTGTGTGTGTGGTCTGGGTTAACATATGTGCTCATCAGTGTAACTCCCTCTCTGTTTATATTCCTAGACAGTTTGTGTTTGACTGCAGGGCTCGTGTTTGTATGTGTCTCACACATGCTGGATGGCTTCTTCAAACAGCACCAGGTCCATGACAGCGTGCAGCTCATTATAATGCTCCAGAGCATCAGCCAGCGTCTTCTGGAGTTTCTCCCAGTCTGCAGCCTGACAGGATTGGAAAAATAAACAAATGAGCGAGAGCAGCCGTTTCCAAGTCACAACGTGGGTACTTCCAGGAATAAAATGTAATTAAGTTCTTATCAAGACATGAGTGGATTAATTTTCAATCCTCAAACCATGAAAAATACCACAAGGTAATTAGTTTGTTAATGGCAGCACATTCATCCTCATTTATTTCCTCGCTGATTAGATTTGTCAGCCAAAATTTGCGTTATTAACATCTCAGCATTTGTATGCGCCTCATATTCACTGCTGTAATCCTATTTATGTCACAAACAATTTATTTCACCCATTTTATCACCGCAATAGCTAAGAACAAATGATGCTTGAAGAGGAGTAACATGAATTGCAAACTGAAGCAGCTCTGACTAGTTGGAGAGTGAACAAAAGTGTCGACCTGGTGATAGCGAGGTTCTCCCACTCCGTGAGCAAAGTGACAGTACACCAAAGGCTGGTGAATGAAGATGGATTCATCGATTCCCTGGAATAATAATAAAAAAAAAAGGTAAAAAATATAAATACAGGGGATCCTCGAATTTATGTCATGGCTCGGTTCCTAGCGGTGATATAACTTACATTTCTCCCCTAAGTGGGAACTTAAATACAATTACATGTGACAAAATATGTAGCAAAAGGAATCTGTTGGCCAGAGAACAGTGTAATGCTGTAGGTCAAGGACGTGGTAAACCTGGATGCCCAACTTAAATCAATTTTTTTATTTTTAAATATTGCCTTCATCCTCAGGGATGACACTGTTTCTGTGACTTACCTCAAAAAACCTCTTGCCAGTGTCCAGCAGGATTTTATTAAATAGCTCCACATCCTTCTCATCCATCAGTTTGTCAGAGTAAACTCTGGAGCTCTCGTGGAGCCACAGATGAACCAGGTCCATGGGGTAACGGATACACTCTGGCTGGGCAAACATGATGCCCTGCACACCAGGTCAGATGGGTTCATTAGTACTACACAGTGATTCTTAACACTGTGTAGTAGTTATACATTACATGCCATTCCTTTTATGCAGATTTAACCACTTTGCTTGTGATACCTGAAAGACGTTGGAAAGGTCCCGCAGGTTGAAGATGTAGTGGAATCGTATGGCTGTAGGGAGGAAGTTCTGACTGATTTTCTGGTGCAGACAAATAGCTGCCTGGATTATTATTAAAAGACAAAACAAAGTACGTTAACTACATGGACGAACAGCAGGAACATCTTGACAAAGTAATGTTAAATGAATGACAGTAAACAGTTTTAATGTGATACAGTGTTCTATGCAAACACCTGTAGGAGAGTGCCAACTGAGCGAGACATGCCGTAGCTGAATCCCCCATGAAGGAAGTGAGCTGACAGGATGCTGGAGAAGATGGTGGCTAATGCATCGGCTCCAGGGAAATGTACAGCAAACACAGAGAAATGTCTCTGAAAACAAATAAAAGGGAGGATTTAGGAGTGAGTGAGTAAGTTTGCAGAAATGTAAGTATTTTTTTCCAAAATCAAAGACTGACTTCAAAGACTTTAACAAACCAAACAAACTGGAATTCAAGCACTTCCAAGGCCTTCCATAACACTGTACCATCACTGTTTAACACATACTGGCATCCAATGGTAGTGATAATATAGAGTTGTTTACCTGAAGCCTGGGGTTAATAGAGAAACTTCCACCTGTTGGGTTCATGCATGTGATGTACTGACAGTTATGAATATCCTTCAGGACCAGACGCTGTCGGTCATACCTAAAAAGTAGCGCAAGTTTAGAATGACTCCATTACTTTGTTTAAAGGAAAGTAAGGAATCATTTCCTGTGACTGCAGCACTCACCAGTGGTTGTAGTCCAGGTGCTGTCGTATCAGTGTGTGCGGCTGCACTGTTCCGTACACGTCCACCGCGGGCATGTTGAGATCGTCTATGAAGTAGATGAGTCTTTTGGAGGTGGGAGGAGCAAATTTACGACCGGCTTTCTTCTCCAGAGGTTTTTCTAGCACCCCTGTTGTGCATTTAACGGAGATAATATTATTGCTTGTGGGCAGAGCTGGTCCCAGTTGGAGTATTCATAGGTAGAGAGCAGAGCTGTCAAATATGAACCACTCATGCAGCCTAATTTTAAAACACTGTCTAAGTGCAGTCCAAATAGGATTACAAAAAAAAAATCAAATATTAACATCAAGCAAAGAGGAGAACATTGTTCACATACAAAGTAGGCTATGTGAGTGATTCCAAACAACAAAATGTGTCTCACAATGTGATGATGCTTGTCCCGTGTATTTAATATCATGACATGTATATGTTGCTCTAATACGGTATTGTATAATTCCATTATCTATTTCAGTTTTCCTTTTGTTCATTTTTTAATATATTGTTTTAAATGATCTTGTTTTTTATTCTCTTCATTTCTTTGACTCTTACTCTGCAGCATGGCTGATGTAGTGTAGTAGTTGAAGGGGACCTTGGCCACCATGTAGTCCTCCTTCAGCTTGGCCACTTTATCAGACACCAGGATGGTCTTGCCCACTCCTGCGTTGCCCACTAACATGATAGGTTTCCCTTTCTGGATCAGCAGGTCGATGAAATAGGTTAGGCAGATGGTTTCTGGTGTGTGGACCAGTACGGTCTGCAAGGAAAAAAAAGAATCAAGTTTTAACTGTCTTTGATTTGTTCAACAATGAATATAAAAGTAACAACTTGCACCAATACCTGTAATGGGAGATCAGGCTCCATCTCAAACGGCAGCATCTTTTCGCTCCAGGGAGTGAACTTTTTGGTCTCTGGGTCTATGAAATAGTCAAAGACTGTTCCCTGTGATGGAAACTTCACTGCTCGCATCTCTTTCGACCACCAGCGGCTGAATTCAGCACGGTAATCATTCAGCTTAGATGAAGGTTGGGGAAAAAAACAGAATCAATGAACTATATATTGCCTATGTTTACTATGTTAATAATATATTAATATTTATCATGTACATGATCCTGGAAGAGAGCGCCACCAAAAGCCCAGACACAGGCAAAGACAAAGTAGATCTCATAGAGTTCTCGAGGAGAGTCGGCGGGTGTGTTCTCCTCAGTCAGCAGACAGTCCAACAAAGAACACAGCGTCTGATTGAACAACACAGAAACACAATCATAAATGACACTTATTATGACAAAGAGCCTTCAGACTGACCTACAGAACAGTTCCCTTTCACCTGCACCATGCTGTTCTCCGGTACACGAGTGATGGTCTTCAGGTTACATCGCACTTGTTCCAGACAGTAGGGCACATATTTATCAAACAGAATGGTAAGGTTGGCTCTCTCTGACAGAGCCTTCCGAGTGTCTATCCAGCTGGTCACATAACTGGTAACACAACAAAGACAGCAGCTTAACCCAAGCACAATTAAAAAATTGTTTTTGAGAGCTAAGAAAAATCGCTCTTACAGGCTCCAGCCGAGATCCTGTGGGTTGACGTAGAGAATTCCTGCTCTGGAAACAGTAGCTGGAGTAGCAGCTTTAAGATGAGAGATCTCAAAGAGCAACCGCATGGAGGGGGACAAACTGATCCTCTCATTACTGGCCAAGGTCAGAACCTGAACACAGGACGAGATCATTAGACTTACTGGAGCAAACATGCCCTGAAAACACAAAACTGACAACAAGTTAGGAGAGGTTCAAGTCATTTCCAGTCAGATTCATTTTTTACACGTCGCTCTAAATTTCCAAAACACGAAAGAAATATAAATATAAATAACCTGCGGAAAAAAAAGTAGGAGTAGAGGTAAGAAGAAAGAGGTAAGGAACGGGCGCACACAGACAGAGACCAAAGACCTGTTTTTACCTTATTGTCATCCATCACTGTGTTCAGGGACTCAATCCACTTTGGGTCAATATCTCCATCCAGAACAATCCATTTTGGCCCATCATGCATCAATGAAGTTAACTCTCTCATTGTCAAGGACAACAGACCTAAAATAAATGACAAAGTAAATGCAATGACACATCTAACTAAAATATGTATTAAATCTGTATTCTTTTGTTTCTTATTTGGTCTATAAAATGAAACAAATGTCAGCCTATTCCATCTTAGTCTTCCAAAATGAAATTTTGACATCCTTAAAATAACAATATATATGAACAAACAGAGCAGTAGAGTAGAGCAGTATTCCTCAACCTTGGAGTCGCCTGAAATGTCTAATAGTTGATTAAAAAAACAGGTAAGTCCTTACCATCTTTCCACTCTCTGGTGGCAGGGTGCAGAAATCCAAACAACTCATCTGTGGTCACTGCTTTAGGGTTGATGTCGTTCCACACAGGTTTCATCTTCAAGTTGAAATACGTTCTGAAAAGTGTTTTTAGGATCTAATGGAGATAATAAAGAATATGAGTTAATAATACTCTGGTGCAGCAGAGAATCTAAAAATGGACATGTAGTGCATAATATGTGGCTTATTAGAATCCATGAATAACTCAACCTGACTTTTTCCAGTTCCTGGTCCACCTACTACAAACACAGAGTGCCTGACAGCCAGCAGCTCCTCCAGCTGAGTGACCTGTGGACACCAGAACTTTAGCTATGACCAAACCAATAAATGTAGCAGTAACTTATGACAACTGCTTTAAAACAAAGGGCTAATATAAGGTGCCTTAAGTATGAAGTTCTCCTCAGGCTGCAGACGCAGTTCACTGACTGACTGGCGAACTGCACTCTCCAGCTCAGGATCTTTCTTCCTGGCCACTTCCAGCTGAGGAAACAGGTCACTGATGAGCCCCAGAAATATGGGCACATCACTGGTCACTATCTTAGGGTGGTTAAAGTCCCTCAGTGCCCGCAACAACACCTGTGGAAAAAATTGTAATGGATTTACAACTGTAACTGTAGGCCATTTGAAACAGGGGTGAGTGAGAAAGATCAGTTCCCACCTGTTCTTCCGGCCTGTTACGATCCTCTCGTTTTAAAGATCCCGCCACGACCAGGACCGACTTGATGGCCCTTAGTCCCCAGTCGTAATGATCCTGAAAGATAAAGTAGTAAATGAAATCACATTGGGTACAAACAAAGTGTATTTTTTATTGAATAGTAAAGTTTTTGTTATTTCAGTACTGCAGAAATCAAATCTTTCAGTCGGTACAAGACATTGCTGTTGAGTTTTTTGATTTTCGTAAACATCTTCTGTCAATTGGAGATTATAGTATAGTCAAACCCAGACATGGGCAAAACCACAGTATGACGGCTGGATTAATCTTTTTTACATTTTACTCATAATTGCACAAAAACATTTTCTATCCAACCAATCCAGAGCCAGTCAGATTTTAAACCTCATTCTGTCCTCCGACCCAAAAAGTGGGGCCAACCCTGATCTAACTCTACAGTCAGCTAAAAAAACAGATTATCATACTTGAATGGGAATCACATTTTTAAAAGGAAAAGAACAAAAATCACAAACTAATTGACAGTCTCCAGGCACACAAAGTCGGCCAAAAGTCAACTCTCACAATAACAGTAAAGTTAAAAATACAAGAAAGTGTCCAAACTGAGGCTTGTTTAATGTATTTGTAACTTTTGGTTTGGCCTTGTATTTGAGTATGTTGTGATAAATAAACATTTAAATCTTATTTTTGGTGTTCACATTCCCCCTGTGAATAGAGTGTAGAATACATATATGAATAAAAATATGAATTCCTGAGCTGACAAACTGTGTTGCACACGTACCTGTTTGGACAGCAGCTCTTTACAGAGAGTGTAGAGACTGATGAATTTACGTGCAAGCAGCCGAGCATCAATAAATCCTTCTGCCACTAACATGATCTCACAGATCAACTCAAAGTCAGGGATCACCATGGCACAGGGCCTGATCAATAGACAAATTATATAAAGTATATTCAGATCAATAAGTCGTAACAATGTACACCTCTACATCTTCAGGGTTTTTGTCTGACCTGAACAGAGCCTTAAGGTTCTCAGGCAGTTCAGCTCTTCCTGCATAACCAGGGTTTAAAGTGATGAAAATGCCCACAGTTGGCTTCAGCTCAATCTCTTCTCCCAGGAAGTGGAATCTGTACACACAAAGTGTCATTGGTTTGTCCAGAAATACTAGAATCTTGAACATAAGGAGAAGTCCTTTTTTATTTTATAAATCCACATGTACCTTTGCTTCTTGTTCCGTACTGCGTCCTGTATAGTTTTGACCTGCACGGCTACCACTGACAGCACTTCCACTGAGATCCTGTTAAACTCATCAAAGCATCCCCAGACTCCTGTCTGAGCCAGGCCTTTGTAAATGTTACCTATAGACTGAAGAATTATGACACATGCCCAGAGAGATACAGTAAAGTGGATCAACTACAGGCGAAATAAGAGAGACATACGCTGACACTCTGCACAGTCTACGTTACCTTGTAGTCCATCTGCTCTGAGCAGTTGAAAACATACACCATGATGCCCAGGGAGCGTCCCAGATCTTTGGTCGTCTCCGTCTTACCAGTACCTGCTGGGCCTGAGGGGGCGCCACTCATAGTCAGGTGGAGAGACTGGGTCAGGGTAATGTAGCATCTAAAAGAACAAGGAACCGGAGTAGAAATGGAAAACAAAGCAAATCGTAGTGCAAATAGTGCTGTACCAAATTATGTCACCTGTCAGTGAGTGGAGTGATGACCAGTCTGTTGGTGTTTCCAAGGTATTCATAGCTGAACTGGAACTGGGCATCACAGATGTTCACGTAACAGTGTCTGGTTTCATCATCCCAGCGATGGCGTAGCTGTGACAGCCAGGCAAATGACTGTCCTGTCGTCACCTACGGACACCAACAGAAATGCCTGGTCGCTGGCTTTAAATAAATGTAAAACTTGATGATAAAAAATTAAATTGGCACTACCTTCTGAGCAATGAGACTGGCAACAACATCCCGAGCGTGGACATCTATCGTGCAGATGGTCATAATTTTCTGTCTGTCTCCAGGAGTTAAATCTCCGAGCAGCATGTGGATTAGTGAGTTCAGCTGGGTTATCTGGGAAAAGAAAACAGGATACATCTACATCACAAACACACAGTTTCTGCTGAATGCAATCCTTGATTACAACTTCTGTCATTGGTACCTGTTTTTTATTGTAGTCTTTCAGTGCAGTTTCAAAGCCCTCCTCCACCCTCTTGAAGGCAATACCCACATCTGTAGCCCACCACACCTGACTCCCAGTAAGACCAACCTATAAAATAAGAGGAAACAGTTCAACAGTTTGTCTTTTCACTTGTGAAGTCAGAAATGTGAATCCATCCAAGTCTGCCTGTGGTGTTCCAGAAGAGTCTAGGCCCCAGTCCTTTAAACATTGATATAATAGGATGGCCATTTTTACTTTTATAAATAGCCTTTGATTTGATGTTATACAATAATTAATCTTTCAATGTCATGCATGCAAATAAAAACCAGGAAGTGCTCCAAACACTGAAGCTTCCACCCATCCTAAGAACTTAAGATAAGCAGTAGTTCTAGCCACACTGCAAATGTGCTCCTTTTTTTAACCTGAATATTACAACAGAACCTATAACAGTGCTGCTCACTTGCTGCGTATTGTTATAAAAGGCCCCTGGAACTACCTCCCCACGGTCTGAGACATTGTTGAAGTAATAAGATCTCTTCTCATTATTAACCTACATTCAAGAACCCTTGATAGCAGCGTTGTCTCTATTGTTGTACTGAATTACATTTTTATTCATTAGAGTTGTTATGTCTTAACACATTTCATGAAGTTTTAACATTATTATAAAACCCCAGACCTGTGCAGGATAGTCAAAGAGCCACTGCTCTCGTGGTTTGTCTTCGTATGCAGCCACAGCCTCCTGGATCTCTTTCTGGACCGTGCAGCGCATGGTGTTTTCCAAGGCACTTAACCAACACTCTGCCTGAAGAAGAACAAGACATGCCCACATGAAAACAAATAATCCAATTATCTACATGTACTTTTTTGTAAACAAAGAAAAGTAATTTTATCTATACCAAAGTAACAAGATTATGGATTACTGTATCAGTGCACTTTGACACAAAAAAATCAAATTACCTGTCCTTTACAGACACAGGGCTCAGAGAAAGACACGTACTCTCCTTCTCGGCTGTACATCCCTATAGCAACTGCCTCCTCATCCTCCTCCCTGCAATTTTTGTCTGAGTCCTTGAAGCGAAGATCTGCTATGTTGTCAAATAGCTTCAGCAAATGGCGAGTCACCTGGAAATAAAAATACAACCCATGCTGTGATTTTTCTAGTAATTCTCTGTAAAAAAAAAAAAAAAAGAATAAAAAAATCATACAGCAAACTCTTACCTGTTGAGGTTGTGTGCCTCTGGAGACTATCTCCAGGAGGTCTGAGGCAGAGACAAAGTAGAATCTGGGGAAGGTGAGCCTCTTGGTCTCCAGATACTCAGCCAGGGCCTTCTCACACACTGACAACCTCTGCTGCAGAGCCTCCAGGTTCTCTAGGTAGCCAGTTTGATTGGTCACCTCGACCACATTACTGTTCTGCACCACCTCAGTCATCAAGGTCTGTGTGAAGGAGCAGGCATTGACAAAGATGGAGATGTCAGGTAATTAAAAAGTACGGCTGAATATCCAACTGTTTCTCTCCAGTGTGCATGTGTAACCTGGAAGTCAGAATGTATTCCCTGGAAGCGCTCGGCCTCACTGGCCAGCTGGCAGCGAATGTCGTGGCTGTTGGTAAAGATGGCGTTGAGGTGGGCCCAAGTTCTCTGGACTGACATCCAGGTGGAGATGACAAGGTCAGCCACCATCAGCTTCCTCTGCCAACCACTCACCTCCTCCTGGAAGTACTCCACATATTTACTCATCAGGATGTTCTGCAGCTGCACCTGAGAAGCAACAAATCAGAAACTGGAAGAATGTCTGGAAGAAGATTAAAAAAAAAATCCCTGTTTGTCCATCTTGGGGGAAACTTAAAAAAAAAGTGGAACAACACAAACATACCTGGTTGTCTTCAAGTGTCTCAATTAGATTCTCATCTGCTTTAAGCAGAGGAGTTCCTGTGCTTGTATGAGTCTCATAGGACAATGACATAACACTCCATGTCTTGGTTATCTCTGCCAAAACCTAAAGATCAACAGGAAATGCTTTGTTATTCATTTCTATTTTTTTCTGCAAGACTTAAAAGAATAAATAGTTACATACAGCAAACTCTTACCTGTTGAGGTTGTGTGCCTCTGGAGACTATCTCCAGGAGGTCTGAGGCAGAGACAAAGTAGAATCTGGGGAAGGTGAGCCTCTTGGTCTCCAGATACTCAGCCAGGGCCTTCTCACACACTGACAACCTCTGCTGCAGAGCCTCCAGGTTCTCTAGGTAGCCAGTTTGATTGGTCACCTCGACCACATTACTGTTCTGCACCACCTCAGTCATCAAGGTCTGTGTGAAGGAGCAGGCATTGACAAAGATGGAGATGTCAGGTAATTAAAAAGTACGGCTGAATATCCAACTGTTTCTCTCCAGTGTGCATGTGTAACCTGGAAGTCAGAATGTATTCCCTGGAAGCGCTCGGCCTCACTGGCCAGCTGGCAGCGAATGTCGTGGCTGTTGGTAAAGATGGCGTTGAGGTGGGCCCAAGTTCTCTGGACTGACATCCAGGTGGAGATGACAAGGTCAGCCACCATCAGCTTCCTCTGCCAACCACTCACCTCCTCCTGGAAGTACTCCACATATTTACTCATCAGGATGTTCTGCAGCTGCACCTGAGAAGCAACAAATCAGAAACTGGAAGAATGTCTGGAAGAAGATTAAAAAAAAAATCCCTGTTTGTCCATCTTGGGGGAAACTTAAAAAAAAAGTGGAACAACACAAACATACCTGGTTGTCTTCAAGTGTCTCAATTAGATTCTCATCTGCTTTAAGCAGAGGAGTTCCTGTGCTTGTATGAGTCTCATAGGACAATGACATAACACTCCATGTCTTGGTTATCTCTGCCAAAACCTAAAGATCAACAGGAAATGCTTTGTTATTCATTTCTATTTTTTTCTGCAAGACTTAAAAGAATAAATAGTTACATGTTTTAGTATGAATTGTCTTTTTTGTTTATATAAAATGACCTTTCTAACCTTTAGCATTTACCACAGTTGTTATATAGATCTAAAGAGTATGACATATTCCCATTTGCTTACCTTCTCAATGGCCATTTCTTTTACAGCTTTGTCCACTATGTTTTTGACTTCATCCTCCACACGGTGAAGCTGTAATTCCAAAAGGTCCCCCAGGGTGGTGCCCTCACCCATTATAAACCGGACCTGGGAAATAACAAATCAACCATTGAGAGGATTAAATGTCTGATCAGGCTGATTAGGTTCAACACATCTGAGCTGGATGGTGGAGACATTGAAACAAGGCTGAAGTTTAGTGAAGATACAATAGATGGAGAACAATGCAGTGGTTAGGACTGGACGTCTGATGAAGTTTCAAAATATAATAACAGGCCTTTGTCATACCCCAGTGGTGTTCATAAGCTGCTGCCAGTGCCTTTCTCTGACAGCAGAGTTCTGCAGCTCATTGACGGCTCTCAGAGACGTCAGCAGGTTCTTCACGGTGGATTCCAGACCTATGTAGACGTCCCACACTCGCACTTCCTTGTCCAGCATCTTCATCTCCTTTGATAGTTTAATAGTAGTTTTAAGAGCATGTATAAGTCATTTCAAATCATTTTTACCTTTAAAAAACAATTGTTGTCAGTCCTACTTTGGCAAATCGCCTCAGTTCCATATCCATTTGCTCCACATTGATTTCTTTCCATGGAGTCTTAGTCCAATCCTCTATACTAGTCTGTCATATGGATGAAAAAGGCAACGTTTCAAACACAGTCTTTTTAGAACTTGGAACTCAATTTCTTAAGTCTAAGTATTAATGTATTTAAGGGTGGAAGACATTTTTTATTAGTTATTTTGGCTTTTTTTTTACTCTGGAGTTGAATCTTCAGTTCAATTCACTTTAAATGTAGTTGTGTTTATTTGGCCCTTTTCTTGGATAGTGACAAAGAGTGTTGTGTTGACCTTGACGAAGATGACCATGTCCCAGACTGCTTTGACCAGTAGTTAACCTTGACGAAGATAACCATGTCCCAGACTGCTTTGACCAGTATGATGTCAGAGCGACAAAGGCTCAGCTGCTTGTATTCTGGGAAGTTGACTTCAAACAAATCAGCTGTGTCCTGCAGCTTCTTCATTTCTGCCTCCATTGCTGCGACTGCTCTGTTGGTCTGGAGACATTCGGAGGCACTGTACATTAGTTTGATGCAAAAACGCTCAGAACTGCAGGAATTCATAGCTATAGCTATAAGTACCTTATCAATGTATTTATAAGGCTCCTCCACAGAGATCCTAAATATAAGTTCGTCTCGGAATTTTTCTCTGAACTCGTGCTGTTTTACCTGAATTAAAAAAAGAAGAAGACATTTAGCATTAATAAAAGTAAAAGTATTTTCGCATTTACATTTTTAACAATACAGAGGGTTTAGGGGGTGGGGAGTTACTTCATACATAATGTAAGACAAAGTGAGAGGGTTTATATGTCAGACAGTGAGCTCTCTGTTAGAGGCTGCACACATGGACACCCTACCTCCCTCACACACAGACTCACCTCGAACCGCACACACTTCCTGCGAATAACTGCGACTTCATTTGCCTGCAGAGGGGCCACTTCATGTTTGACAGTGAAGGCAATTTTCCTTAAACTCTTCCACTTCTCTGGTAGCTCCTAATGCATAATTATTGATTATTGTGATATGTTTCTTAATATTTGTGCAGATGTAGTGTGTCAGTGTGACTGTACACACTTCCAACTGTGTGTAGACGCTTTCAGGAAGCTGCTGTTCGTAGGTCTTCAGGAGTTCAGCTGTAGATTTGAGAGGTTTAAAGTGCTGCTCGTTGCTGATCTGTCTGTCTCGTATGGCCATGAGGTGTCCCATGATGTCAACAAGACCGTTGTAGTCGCAATCTGACACCGTGTTGGAAAGACCTAGAGTTGTGGTCTCCACAAAAGAGGATAACTCCCTCACGCTGTTGAGATGGAAACACAGAAAGGACGATGTTTAAGAATGGAACAAAAATGACAGTTTTGCACCTGTCTTTGTGTGTGTGTGTCCAC